GTCATTTATTTTACAATAAGGATTTATCTAAAATTATATTAACATACTGTAATTTATTAGAATATATTTAATTTTTTATATTTTTATTTTATATCTATTATTTATGATTAAATAAAGATTTTTGTTAAATATATCAGGTTGTGATATCGCAAGTTAATATTTAAAAAAAAAATTAAAATTCGGATTAGTTAGGGTTAGGGTTCGAGCTAGTATTAGGGTGTCCTCAATAATTACATCATTGTAAAAATTATCTATCTAAGCATGAAGTTTAACACCATCTCCCCCGAAGTTGCAGCGCATATTAACATCAACCAAGAAGTATTTGAAAACGCCGATGAAATTATTCAACAAATTCTCGTTCGACAAGCTCAAGAGATAATTAAGATAAAAGAACGGTATGAAATGTCCATTAGTCAAGAGATTGTCTCGGAAATAAGCATATTCAGGATTGATAATGAATTTGCAGATGTGTGGGTAGCTGCAGATGGTCATAAAGACGTAAAATACTTGTATGGGGGCACAAGAATGGTAAACCCTACAGTGAGCTACTTGGAAATAATGAATATCCTTCAAAAATTGATGCGATACGAAAGCTCTTTAAAAAATAGCTTAATTAACAAAGCTCTGGAAGCGAACATACTTGGAAAATATAAAGACTCTCTCCCGAAAGGATTTGAAAATAGCAAAGTTGGGGGGCAAGATGTGTTATTCAGCCTAAGAATCAAGAACTATATGCGATATTAACTAATCCGACTAATCCATCATTTACACAAACTATCGAATCGATATTTGTTGAACTTGGCAAGCTGCTTGATAATAAAAATGGGAAAATTAAACTTACACCAGATTTTGGACGTTTTTCAGGAGTTGCAGACATTTTGGCAAAATTTACACCCCATGTACTTGGTGTATGTTGTGAAAATGGTGGATGTGGGGGAAAGTCAAGCTACTCTTCTAATGGCGTTATAGCAGCAATTGAAGAAATTTGTCCTGGAAATAAAGAAATTGCGATAACCCTCATTGGATCAGCTGGTGCGATGGGATCAGGCGTGACAAAAGCACGTATGGATTCTGTGCCAGGTTATGTCGATCATTGCCGATCGTTTATCACATGATGATGTTCGGGTAACAAAACGTGCATAATTCGGTTAGAA